GATCGTCAGTGATCGCTAACGATGAGTTGCAGCGGCGGGACAGCGACGAGCGATAGCCAGTGCCACGAGCCACATAACGCATACACCTATGCCAGGGGATATACATGTTTGTGATTTGCTATAGAAAACGTCAACAACATCGACTGCGATAGATGTCGACCGAACGTAACTCCTAGCTAGTCCGGAGGGCTATATACGCCGGGTCCTAGGAGAATCAACTTGACGGTGATACGTCGTTACAGAGTTGCGGCGGTCGCTGCGTCCAGGCCCAACATTCACTGATGCGGCGAGCTCAGATGAGGCAGGAGGTATTTATGATGCAGCCGCTATACTCGAGCAGAATCCGCCCAGATTGTCCCACGCACCACACTGGGCCAACCCGGAGCCTCGTGTTGCCGGCGTGCTGGCTACGCTCCTTGATAGCGTCTACAATCCCGAACGTTCTACATAGGGTGTGCGTGTCATTCAGGCTGCAGCTGGCCACCCTTGGCCACCGCGAGCTTAGTACTGATAAATAGCTTATTTGCAGAGTCGCACCAATATAACACTGCCGCATGATGGATCTCAAGCATCCTTTCTTGGCGATTATGAATCCTCAACGAGAGCACATCCGATATGCTGCGTCTATCACAGTCGGAGGGAAGCCCATGGCTGTATGATGGGTGCCACGGTGAGTCAACGTTTCTACGCGTGCTCAATGACCCTCAGCATGACAATTGCTGTGTGTAGCATGCGTATCTCGCAGACAATTGTCAATTGTTGGGCAACAGTGCGTAGGGAGGCGCGCGGGCGACGGGACGGGCGTCGGGCGACGAGGGAGGCATCTGCGGAGGGATCTGGCGTCATTTGCCGGCGGACGATAGAAGACGCGTGACATCGGGGCGTGACGACTCGATCGGGACAGGCCCAGTATGGATGCGGCTTTCTCCAGATCCGCCCAAAATTCGATCTTTCTGCCCGTAACCGCCCCCGCTGCGCCGGTGTAGAACTCGCGTCCGCAACGCAACCGCTCCCCCGCTCTGTTCTCACTCACATATATCAATTACAGGCAGCTGCTCGACAGGCCGCCACAGCAACCTGTCGCCCCGGCATCCGTTTCACTGCTCTCATCTCAATCACGGTGTTCGATTCACACGCCTATTTGCGACGTCGCTGTGCCTGCGCGAGGCAGATCTGCACCGCTCGACCGGCGCGCGGCTATCTCGGCCCCTCTTTAGGGTCGCTGCCTCCGCTTGCCTGCCGCCTCTCCTTCCCCATTGTCCCCTCTCCCGGATTCCTGCCCGCCCCCGTCAATGTCAATTATCACCCTCTAATCTGGTCGCTATATAAACTCAACGATCTCTCCATCTGTATTCGTAGCTCCCACAACCTCCCAGCCTTTAGAACACGCTGTCGTCGCCGCAGTCATCCAGCCATGACCATCCCCATCGCGTCGCCCCAGCCGCGCTCCGCGCTCAACCCACGCCTACTCTCGTCGCGTCGACCTGCAGCCCCGTCTTCCCATTCACCAGACAGCCAAGTGAGTTCTATTATCGCGTCGTGTGCGTTTGTACACCTGTCTTACCACGCTTTCATCAGCGCGTCCTCCCTCAAAGACGGCTCTTTAGCCCCCCACGACTCTCGACCCCCATCGATCTCTTCGATCCCCGTGCCAACAGGTCTCAGGTATGTCTCTACGCTCCTGGACGCGTCGAGTCGTCTAACTCGCTCGCAGGCTACCAGGTCCGCGACGCTGTGCAGCCCGATCAACAAGAGACGGCGGAACGTCGCCTTCAACGCCGTCCGCTCCCCTCGACGCCGCCATTGCCTGAGAACCGAATGCCCCATGTCCCCCCTCTCCGGTCCAGCCTTCTTCGATAGCATTCCTTGGATCTCCCAACTCGAGCAAATGCCCGACGATGCGCTACCCATGGATATCGCAGACCTGTCGGTACCAGAGAATGACTGTATGCGCCCCGAAACGCCCTGTAGCGGCCCCATGCGTACGCGCAAGACATCGCTTCGGTCGAACCCCCTCGCACACACTCTCAATCGAGTACCCGACTTCTCGCCTCCTGACCTACACGAGTTGCCTATCTACGCGTTGCTTCCACATGATCCCGCGCCATCAACGCCCCGGACTCCCATCAGAGAGCCCTTCATACCGTCCGAGGTCCAGTTCTGCGGCCTTCGGCCCGTTCTTAATGGCCTCGGAGACGACTACTCGCACGCTTCTCCGCGGATGTCCGGACGATTCGATTAATTTCGCGCCCGCTTCTCACCTCGCTCCCAGTCTCATCCACTCATGCACGCCACCATAATCTCATTGCGGCTTCTCTTATGCGCCGCTGTCTCCACGAGCCTCGCCATCTACCACAACAGCTCACCGACGAGATCACTTACGACCAGATCTGCTTTCGGGCCTCGCACACTCGAGCCCACCGACATACGCATACACGCCGTTGATTTAATCCCTTTGGCTCTCTTGTTCGCCCCTCGCCACGGCCCGCCTATTCCACCTATGTGTTGCCTCGTCAGGAGCCCCAGCACTTGATTTATTCGTTTTGCTTTCTTCCTTCACCTACCAAGAATCCCAAGTTGCTATCCTCTGTCGGATTGAAGCCGACACCAGGCTTGTGCTCGATTCTTGAATGCCTCCCAATCTTCTTCGTCTTTTGCCCTACGCACCGTGATCTCTGTGTAGTATCACCCGTTGTCCTATTTGTTCACGCTGTCCCATAGGTATCGTTATTATCCTGCTACAGTATCCCCGTTCTCGCTAGCCCACGCTCACGCTGTTTCGTGCCCGTCGATGTACAGATACTGCTTACTGATTTGCTCACCTGCCCGCGATGCTTCGCAATGGACGCGTTGTCGAATACGTACTCTCTACGCTTAGCTCTCAGCTGCCTTATAGTTACTGTGCCCGGTGATGCCCCGGATGTACTTGTACGACACTTGTATGCATATCACGAACAATGTTGTGCACCATTGACATTGATTGTCGCTGTCATTTAGACTGTGAAAGCTTGTCTTTTTGAAGAGGCTGTTTGCGGTAAGGTGTGGTGGCAGTCGAGGCGCCACCTGCAGAACATACTTGCGCCATCATGGTGAGCCTCGACTGGGCAAGCCTTTTCAACGACGAGTCCGGACGGGTCACCTCTTGTCATCCTAGACAGCATTCACCGTCTCAAAACGCGTATTATCATCGTCGCGAGCTAGACTGTATCGGATCTAGGGGTTCATACTTGCTGGCTGGAACCGTCCGTGGGTCAGAGAACACACCACAATACAAAGGTGCGTTCCCTCGACCTTCTTCCCTGTCTCTCCTACCCACAACCACATCGCAGGTCATCATGAGCATAGAAAATCGAGTCGTCAACTTTGGTGCAGGCCCTTCTGCGTTGCCCGTGTCCGTTCTGGAGGAAGCGGCGAAGGGACTACTCAACTTCCAAGGCATTGGCATAGGGATCGCCGAGATCTCGCACCGCTCGAAGGAGTTCCAGGCATTCCTGACGAACATGGAGTCCCTCATCCGCACGCAGCTCGACGTGCCCTCGACGCACCGCATCCTCTTCACGCAGGGCGGCGGCTCGATGCAGTTCTCCGCCGTCGTCCTTAACATGCTCTCGCGCTACCGCCTGCTCCATCCCGAGCGCACATCCGAGGAGACCGCCCTCGACTACATCGTCACTGGCTCGTGGAGCAAGAAGGCCGCGGAGGAGGCGAGGCGCCTCGGCGGCGCGAGCGTGCATGTCGTTATCGACTCGCGCCAGTTCTCGGAGAGCGGCAAGACGTTCGACAGCATCCCGTCGCACGACGCGTACAAATTCTCAGAAGACCCTGCGTTGATATACTACTGCGAGAATGAAACCGTGGATGGTGTAGAGTTCTCGCACGAGGATACGTCACCGGCGTCGTTCCCGTTCCACCTCCTGTCCAACCAGGGCGGGTTGGTCCCGCTTGTTGCGGACTACTCTTCGTCCTTCATGTGCCGACCCATTCCGCACCTCGCTGACCACGCTATTATCTACGCTGGTGCACAAAAGAATATCGGTCCCGCTGGCCTCACGATCCTCATCGTCCGACAGGATTGCATCGTAGACGTTGATGCAGCTGCGAAGCTCGGTGCTGCACCTGTCCCTATCACGATGTCGTACAAATGCCTTGCGGACTCGAACAGTCTCTACAACACGCCCGCCGTGCTCCCAATGTACGTGTCGGGCCTCGTGCTGCAGCGGATGCAACGGCATGGCGGCTTGAAGCACTACGAGGAAACGAACAAGCGGAAAGCAGAGCAAGTGTACGCCACGCTCCGCGAAGGCCAGGATAAGGGTATCTTTAAGTCGAAGGTGAAGGAGGGCTCGGGCAGTTGGATGAACGTCGTGTTCGAAGTCGTTGGTTCTGATGCCGAGAAGGAATTCTTGGAAGGTGCCGTAAAGGTCGGACTTACAGGACTGAAAGGCCATAGGTGCGGGCGAATGTATTTTGTTTCTGACGTCTGTACTGATCCGGGTTGATATAGATCCGTCGGAGGTCCGTTGAGGGGTTCCTGAGAAACCGTGAATGCGCTGACGTTTACATGCAGGGATCCGCGTATCACTCTATAACGCCATTACTGAGCAAGAAGTTGGTCGATTTGTCGACTATGCGAAGCAGTTTATCGCGTCCCACAGTGCATAGATAATACTGATTCACTGCCGTTCAACCATCGTTACTGTTTCGTGAGTGTTCTAGTCCAACGACCCATTTGACATGTTCACCCATTTGTAACGTAAAAGTTTGTATAACTATGCACGTCGCTTTCATCAGGCGACGAGAGGCCTAGGAGGCTTGAGAATATCAAAACAGCCTACATAATGTATGAAAGGAGAATGTGCTCATACCAACACGGAATCTGTGTTGGTGGCCATACAACGACCCGATCTACACAGAGTAGGGACGGTAATGAAGTGATTGTTGATCTGCAAATCGATGATTACGTGGTGGCTATATACCCCACAAAGAGGGGTCTCTCATCGTGCCCCATGGCTTAGTTGGCTATAGCGTCCGACTGTTATGGCGTAATCATACTTACGTATGTCAATCGGAAGGTCGAGAGTTCGAGCCTCTCTGGGGCAGTTTTTTAAAGTCGTTTTTGTCGACACTTCTCATACAGTTCAATGCAATGCATTAGTCTATGGTCTATGCATGCCTCATGTGCTATCCTTTCATCCAGTGTTTGCAGTCACAACGAGGGGTCATTGTGGGCCATCTGCCAGTGTCTGCCAATGACCTATATTCTTTCGCTTTGTTTCCAATATTGTATCCCCAGAGGCTCCTACTCATTGCATTCATTTCATTACATAGAGAGCATATATGTGTATGATTGTGTTCCCATACTATTTCGGACCGGTCAGCCTAGAAGTCGGCGGTCACGCTGGTGGCACACAGTTCCCACAGCATTATTCGAGGTCCGCACAACAGTCGTCAGCATTCGTGCATGTAGGCTTAGGGCTCACATCATCTATTGCACCTACTGAATGTACCAAGGAGTAAAATACAACAGCCAGGATATGGACGGGGACTGAGGGTGAGGATAGAGGTGAGTGAGGGCAACACAACATCGGTGAGAAGGCTAAATGCTGGCATAGGACACAACGACGTGCAGCGCGACGTGTACGACGACCGCAAGCATAGCAGGCTCACCTACGGGAAGTGGGCGAATGGGCGAGAGAGCGAGCCGACGGCGCACATGTCAAGCGCATTCGCGCTGGGCGAAAACCCAGTGCTCATCCAACGACCGACGGATGCGCGTGCAAGTGAATGACAGCGCATCCTGCACGCCCGCTTTGTCACGAGCCGATAGCAGGAACACACGCGTGATGGCGAGCATGTTCAAGCCCGCCACCACCTGCCTGCTCCGTTCAGTCTGCGTGTCCGCCCGCCTTTGCGATCATCTGCCTTCCTGCCTGCACAATCGTCGTCCTGCTTACCATGTCATAGCCCCTCACTCAATACTCTCAGTCCTTGCTGTCAGATCTGCGGCCAGAACATGCACCCGGATCTGCGGACGATTGCCTGCCGGGCGGGCATGTGTTGGCGAGTCTCTCTGCTTTGGCTTTCTGCTTTGCTTGCTAACATGTCCTACGTTTTCCCGCAGATGCACAATATTACCATGGTGCAATCACATGTGCTATGGCATGTTTGATGCTCATACTACAAGCTGTTCATAAACCCGCTTTGGTGGCCAAAGACAAAATGTAGATGGTAATTCATGGTATCCCAGCTCAAAGATGGTGTTTACAATCAAGTACTGTCACTCACTGATTTGGTTTGTTATTGATCTATGGAGTGCCAATTCTCAGGATCGAAGGTTGGACATTGTAGACGGCCGTGCCAGTTGGCGCGAAACAGCTTGGGGTCTCCGCAGGATGCGGTACGGGATGTGCGAGTAGGATGCGAGCTGTGGAGGATACGAGGTAGTGATTGACACATTGAGGATACAGTAAGTGCTTCCGACCTACACAATAGCAGCCTACGAGATGTATTCACACAACTGGCATACGGTGATGTATGTTTTGGTGACCAACAAACTACTGTGCCATCTAAACCTACAAATGCTGTTGCCCGTACATGTCATCCCCATCAACAAGACTATTTGAGACTGAACAGAGTTGACCCAAATGTCCATCCCTTGCAGGTGTCCACGAGTGTGTCCAGCATCTAAGCACCTAATTCACTAGGAAACTGATCTCATTGACACTCACTGCCCTCTTTATATTGCTGGCAATATGCTAGTCTCCGTTGCAGACCATACAAGCCGACAAGCGTCTTTTCAGCCAGGCCACTGGCACAAGCGCTTAGAGATACACTGCCTTCGTGGCAGTGCCGAAATGCATTTCGAAGTCCTCGTATCTGCATAGATATACCTCACACATACAGATATTGAGCCATAGATAAGCGACCCCAAGTCACCAAGTGCATATCGAGAGCAGGAAACTTCGGAGGTCATCGCGACGCGCAAATGTGCCAGTGGCTGAAGGGTGGGCGCCTAACCTCGGAGCAGCTGCGGGCAGCCGTATATCATGCCAAGCAGATCGTCAAAATACAAGTCACTTTGCCGGAGTGGTTAACGGGATCGCCTGCTATTCCTTGCTTAGTGATAGTCAGCGGTTGGGATTTTCCCACGGGTGTTCGAATCGCCCAGGTGACGATCTTTTGCTCCTTTTCCCCGCCTTATATGTCTTCACTTTTTCGGTCCACTCTGCCATGGATTGATGTCTGGTTGTACATCACTTTGGTATAGTGGAGGATTGACAGATAGTACTATTTCGGACCGGTCAGTCGCCACCCTGGCATATCCCAGGCTGCACTGACCAGATCTCCACGAAACATTTTCTGCACAATGTACTGAGTCTATAGCACCACTCTGAGACTGCCATTGCAGTGATAAGTGAGCTGTAAAATGAGATATCTGTTGCTGGCAGATGTCACACTTTCAGCCACCAGCTGAAGTCGGCCGTGAATTATTGCCTCTGAGCAGCCACTGTTTGTATAATCTTGGTCTCTTTGCCCATAGTATATACATGTCCACTGCATCCATCCACCCACTTGCTGCGATGCCCAGGCCGGCTTTGTATTTTATGGCCACAATCGTGTGTAGGGCCTTCACCTTGCGTGCTCTCCGTCTACGTTTGTATCGTGTTGCTGACCCGACGCCGCGCGGCCGTCATCCTAGTTGCTGCACTTGTAGACGTGCGCGAGACGACCCAGAGGGAGAAGGCGCCCCGGCACTCTCAGTATGGCCTGGAAAGAATTGACACTCACCAATATACAGAGGGCTTCGTTGGCACAATAGTGGAAGTGCATATATGCGGCCTGAGCAGCACCGCGCCACATATATGCGCCCCGAAGCATCGCTGTTGGAATTCGGGACCATATGTCGACCTCACGATGTTCAACACAGGAGAAGGCGATTGGGGAGAGGTCGGCGGGAGCGGGCCATGGCGGGAAGATTTTCTTTGATAGTAAGCCATGGCCGACATGGGAGATCGTGCGCAAGTCGCGAGTCAAGACGCAACCGACCATATGTGTGCACGTGATGAATAGTTGCAGTGGCTTGAATGCGTGTTATGGCCCACAAGAAAGTGGAACAACACATGCATGTCCTGATTCTGCATACATCAACTCTGAGTACCCTGCCTGACCTTGAAAGATATGTGTTGTTGGATCACAAATTCAGTTTGACCATCAAGTGTAAGCCCGACGTCGGCACATTGGAGAATCACTAGTACTGAAATGATAACAGGCGACAGCTTTAATTCGTCAATGTACGGAATCAGAATGTGAGTACAAGACTGAGGGAATAATGGTGCTCACCTTCGTTGTACGAAATCAGGATGAGGGTACAACGAAGGCGAGGTGGGGAGTATATGTAGTGCGGCCAGTACTTATGTGTAGTGTAGTCCGAATGTGGTAAGTGGAATGTGGTAAGTGTTGTAAACGAGCGGGGAGCGAGGCTTCACTATCTCAGTAATACTTGTACTTGTTTGATGATATCTGTCACCTAGTATAAATCACACCGCTTATGAGATTTATGTTATGCAACTGCGCTGATTACTATGAGCCAGTTCTTCCTATGCGTACATTTCATCCCAGCCTTCGTCGTTTGTTGCTGACGGCTTCCTCGGGTCTCCAAGGGCCTGCTCCAGCTGGGTGGTAGCAGCTACCTGAGGCCCCGAGATCAGTGAACCTGGAGCCGCACCACCCGTCCCTGAGTCTGCAGCTTCCATCTCCTTAATGGCATCCCACATATCCTCGTCTTCGTCCTGAGCGGGACCCGACATAGTGGCATACTGTGTGGGGGCAGGTCCGGTATTATCTGCAACTTTATCGTCAGATGCGTCCCACATCGCATCGTCTTCGTCTTGAGCTGCTGTTGGCAGAGTCCGAGGCACACTGGCTTCTGGGACACGACTCTCTGCGGCTTGCCGCTCTTCCTCCTCGCGTATCATCGCATCAAGGTCGAAGTCATCAAATCCATCGGATGAAGGTGGCTCGGATGAAGGAGGGTGAGATGGCGCGCGTGAAGACGGACCATCGATGCCGGTCGCGTCGAGGACGTCGTCCTCGACTTCCTTGGAAGCCGCGGTCACTGGTGCGCCATCATCGGCCCCGTCTTCATCACTGCTATCGTCCGAACCGAGGTTGACATTGTGTCCTCTGTTGATGCCTTTATATTCATCGCGCCAGACAGTAAGCGCAACCTAGCATCGGCTTCTTTAATGTGTACGATGGCCGGACGACTCTGAAAGCACGCACATGCATCCGTTTTGAATGGCAAAGCTTCTCGACTCGTTTCGTGGTTTCTGTGAACGGTGTCTTGGGGAACATCTTATGTGTCCAGAACTGGTACACTTGGAGCAGTCGATTCAGGTCTGTTGCCTACCGGCTATGCATGAGCAAATGCGTAGCAAAGCTTGGAGGGGGGAGACAGTGCACCTCATGGCCCTTTCCCTTTGGCTTGAACGTCTTCGCTTGTTTGACCAGAGCGGGAAGACCATCCTGCCCAAGCAGCCTGGCTTCGTCCAGTCTGGGCAGAGGCTTCCTCTTCTGTTTCTCCTTCCCACCATCTTTACCTTTCGCATCCCCTCCCGCGTCTCCATTGGCTTCAGGCCCGTCAAGATCAAGCGCGGACGGCTTCTTGTATCTCTGCGCATTCTTTGCATCTTCCTGCCGCCTCAGAGCGTCGAGGTTGAGCGCTGGAGGGAGGTCGCCGTCTGACGCATCCGGCTCCGCATCCAAGTTGTCAAACATAGCATCAATGTCCGACTTTCGTGCTGGAGGTGCAGCTGACTTGCGCGCGGGCTGACCATGCCCCTCGTCTTCAGAGTCAGAGTCGAGGAAGAGCGTCGAGCGCGGCCGCTTGGATCCACGACGCGGGGAAGCATTGGCTGTGAGGTCAATAGGGGAGGATGAACGGCGGGGGACCTCCTCTGCGGGGGCGTCCCAGATGTCTTCGAGGGCAAGCGATGTCATGGCTGTGGTGATTGAGCGTGGGGTTCCGAGCGCGACGCGTGGGGTAACGCGTCGGGGACGCGTCGGTCACGGCTGATGGTCACAGATCCTCCCGAGATTTCTGCACGCCGGTGGCGCTCAATTGCTTTCTACTTGCAACTCACACTCTGGAGTAAAGGCATCGCACTATTCTCAAAACATGTCCGAAGAGGTCGCCATGCCCGAGCCGGACGTGCAGGCCGGCATAGACTATTGGGCGAATCAACCTGCTAACTACGACGGTGTCCTGGGTGAGCAAGCTCGATCGCACCTCACTCTCCGGCTGCAATGTGACGTCGGTGTGTAGGTGGATTTGGCACTGGCGTAAGTCGTTTTCTCTACTCCCAGTAAAGATATAGTGCTCATGCCCCCTTCGCCAGTCCCTGCCTCGAGTCGATGCTCTCTCTTCTCGCCAGTTCTTGCTATACCTGCTGCCTGAGCTCAGCACAGTCCCGTCAGCCATCCGGCCGCTCGATGAGCCAATGCATCCCCACAGGACTCGTGCCCTGGATATCGGCGCAGGCGTGGGGCGCGTCACGACGGACGTATTGCTGCACCTCGTCTCGGACATTGTCCTCGTAGAGCCCGTCGAGAGCCTCGTCAAGGAAGCCCTCTCCCGAGGCCGCGCGAGCGAGAGCACGTCCCTTAAGGCCGACTCCGCATTTGTCCCGTGGAAAGGCATCGCGTCGAGAACGAAGAGCGTCTCTTTCATTCAAGATACCCTGCAAGGCTTCGACCCCTGTCAATCATCTAAATCCCCGTCAATCCTGGATCGCGTCGGATATGCCCCGCCTCAGAACGATCTCGACGAGCCTTTCGACATCATCTGGTGCCAGTGGTGTCTAGGATCCCTCAGCGACGCAGACCTTGTTACGTTCCTGCGAAGAAGCCGGCGCAGCCTCCGGGACCCAACACGCAGTCTGATCATCGTGAAAGAAAACTGCTGTTACGACGATGACGGGCAGCCGACCAGCGTGTTTGACGACACTGACTCGAGTTTAACGAGGTGCGTCCACCGCGTCGTCAAACAGTCATTGGCTAATTGTGACACAAGGTCGGATTTGGCATGGAAGAAGGCCTTTGCGGAAGCTGGCCTCACAATTGTGCGCCAACAGTTACAGCGGGGGTTTCCCGAAGGCCTCTATGCAGTTAACATGTAAGACATAGTTTCCCTTCCTACTGCATCTCACTGATTCTTTGTCTCCATAGATATGCTTTGAGGTAACGCGAGGTAGCAATGTAAATTTAGGTCGTAGGCAGGTATTGACAATCATGCTAACAATACAATGATCGTAGCAGCGGGCTAGAGTAACGTCGTCAACGGGTCGGTAGGGTAAAGCAATCGAAAAGCCAGCGAGCACGAAAGGAAGGAACCATGGTAAGTACCATCAGAGAAAACGAACGGACATATCCAAGCATAAAAACACGTCAGTGCAGCTTCATCTTTTCTGTAGGAGGGGCTGTGTTCTCCTTCCTAGCCATGACAGCTTCGCTAAGGCTCGTTCGTCGCTTTTGTTCCCGGCTCTCTGTGCGCTCTTTCACGTGGGGAAAATTTGCCCGGATAACGCCCTCCAGTTGGGGCCAGATCTCGTCCGATGTTGAACCGGACAGGGTCACCATATTCACCCTGTAGAGGGGGGACTGGGAGCGGTAGTATTCGAGGAGAGGCGAAGTTGATTCGTAGAACTTCTCCAGTCGACGAGCGAATACCGCCTATATGCGAGATGAGCCTCGTGCATGAGGGCGAATAGTAAGACTACGTACCGGATTGTCATCGGGTCGCTTAATGAGAGGCTCGCCAGTCACGTCATCGAGACCAGGCACCTTGGGCGGGTTGTATGACAGGCTGTAAACGCGGCCAGACGGCAGATGTACCCATCGGTCGGATATCCGGCTCAGGATGATTTCGTCAGGGACATCCAAGTTGACGATCAGGGTAAGAGGTGTTCCCTTCCGTCTATGTAAAGCTAGTGAGTGTGCTGAAGTCCATGATACAGGCGGACTGGATCAAACCTTAGATGGTCGTCGAGTAATTTTCCCTGCCCGACTGTACGCGGAAAGCCATCAAGCAGCCAGTGCTATGATGGACACTGGATGTCAATCGGTGTGGCTAAATGTGATACAAGGTCCAGGAGATGCACCTTGGCATGAAGCAGA